TCACTGGCAGTGCTTCATCCTGAAGCTGAGGTCAGAGGACACGTCAAAGAGGGGCAAAGGGGCGCCAAGTTTTGTTGAGGGTACCCTTTCTTGTTGTAAAGACAAAGAAAAATGGAAAACCCGCATTTTTTTTGGGGGGGGGCCCGAGTTTGATGGACAAACCCAGCCAAACGTCCGAAGAGGTTTGTGAGACACGTTGCCAGTCGCACAAGAAACAAACAAGCTTGAAGAATACCTAAAAAGACCACCTGCTTTACAAGGGAATTCTCTAAATCAGTCGGTACTTGGGTGATGTTTGAAGCCCTTGAAGGATAGGAAGAAAAACACCCTGCAGGCTTTGATGGACAAGATCATCGCAGTCAGAAAAGTGTCCGTAAGAATTTCAGAATAACTGACGCGACCAAGGCCATCGAATGACACCCGGCAACACGGAGAGCCCGCCAACAAACCTCCGCACTTGGACCCTCCCTTGCGGGCAAACTAAAGATCGGCAAAATGCAAATGTCCATTTTTGGAGGGACGGTAAAAAAAAGTGGCTCCCTTTTTTGGTCTCCCGAAAGAAAAACCCTGAACAAAACGGCATGAAATGCGGACTTGTTAAGAAAAACAACATCGGTCACCAAAGCACAGTCAAAGGGCGTGTAGCTTGTTGTGCCCTGTCCGCTCATTCGCCGTACAGAACGATCTATCCATCAGGTTCAAAAAGTGGGCGGGATGAGTTTCAGCCCCGCAGTCAGGTTCCAGTCAACATGGAACCTAACGCCCCCCTTTGGAGTTTCGGACCCCTTTGCGGCGGCCCCGGAAGCGGTCCTTTCGCACACCACGGCCATCTCTTCCAGGGGGCCACTCTGCAGGAAGCCCACCAGGAGGCCAACCTGGAGGCGGAATGGACCCCCCTACCTCTTGGTTCCGGGAGTGTTTTTGAAGGGCACACGCTGCAAGCCTTTTCCCAGGAGAAGATCCCTGGGTTTCTACCACTATTGGCATCCAAAACCAGTTTCGCCTGAAGCGCATGTGTTCGACATGCACCAGACCCTAGAACACTTTGAAAACAAACTAGCTCATCTTGGCGAACTAGGCAAGGGAACACACCGTTACAACGGCATAGTTCCAAGGGAGAAAGTTGTCAAGGGTGTGAAAGCTGCACAGTGTGCCGCAGAGAGAAACAAGTCTGCAACCCCAAACGTAACCACTCCTTGGAAAAGCAACAAGGGAAATGGGAGATCACCACAACTCGAGTAGATGGGGGGAATAGGGCCCAAGCAACCTGTTTGTGACTGTAACCCTTTTTTGGAAACACTTGAAACAAAAACCTTGGTTAAAGATAGACACATGTGCACCCAACTCCTTTGGGTGCCACCAAGATGGGTACCAGTTTGTATCTGGTCTACGTATTCCCATTCAACCAGGCAGTGCGGATTTTGCGAACTGGCTGCTACGTGGAACCTCTGTTCATGTCCGCATTGGTTTGTGATACTATTGCTATCCTTTTCCTGTTAATTAATTTGCTCCGTTGAAGGTGGTTCTGGGTGCAAGTCCCCGGAGCAGCCTTCGGACGGCGAAGAAGAAAGGAAATTACTGGGAACCCGCCGCCCTTATTCCCTTTACGGACCTAATCTGCTGGTTTCATTCTCGCTTCCCATTTGGGTTAGCGTCACAATTACTTGTCTGGGGTGTGTGTATTCATTCCCACGCTAGAACGTCCCGTATCGTTTGTCAGGTTCTTTCTCAGGTTGTGGGGTATGATGTTTGGACATCGAGTATCGTTTTCGAGAAAAGGCAAAAACAACATGTGCATGAAACACTGCTACATTCATCAAATGACAGTGATCTTGAAGCTGGCTCATTTACCCTCAGCAACCAAAGGTTCAAATCCCCAAGCCACCAATCCAAACCACCGATTAAGAGTTGTCTGAATTACAGGCTTGTCTGTTCTCTCTTTTTTGCTGGTTCTCAGTGAATCGCCTTGGGGTTGTGCGAAACCGTTTTGGAGCCCCTAAAAGGACACCTACAAGCAATGGCTGACACCGGGTCATTCACTCATTCCCTCAAACCGTTGCTTCAGAAAACCAGGCATACCTCGAAATCTGTTGCTTCCAATGAGCCAGCCTGAAAAAACATCGAACCTCACAGCCTACCTCCCGGGCCAGGCCTCTGCAGCACGCCTCACGCGACGAGACGTGGGATCAGACGTGCATGTCAAGACATACGACCTGCCCAATGTTCCCTTGGCCCAACTCGGCAAATGCAAAATCTTGATATCCGAGTCTGTTCCATATTTCGTCAACCTTCAGTTTGAACGTACGAGTGCCAATTTTCATTGGGGACCCTTTGGTGGACATCATTGAGCTGGGGATTCTTCTCCACCCACCACTTTTGAAGTCGTTCTCTATTAAAATTCATAGCCGTATGTTACCTTAACCCACTGGAACCATTTATCTGTATGGTAGGACCAAGGGAACCACCCTTTACAAACCAAGAGGAAAATGGTTGGCTACCTACTTCCATAGGGGTAACGGGGATCCACTGGGTAAGATTTGAACATATTTTCTGCGGGGACCCCACCCAGCCGCCTGGTGTTCGCCGCACAAGGTGCCGCGAGACCGACGCAGTCGGTGCCGACGGTTCCGGCAGGTCGAAGGCGGCTCCGGATTTCGGCAGCGGGATCACCATGCCCGCGCCGGCCTCGGCCGCGTGCTTTCGGTGGGGCCAGGTGGTTGCGAAAACCACTTTGGAGCACCCAGGATTTCACAAGGCGCTTTGTCAACAAAGACCAGCGATACTGCAAATGGTCCACATCCTGGACAAGTTGATAGGTGATTGGTCCCATTCATGAGGCGAAGCTAACTTTGTTCATTCACAGCACGACATGGAATCCTCAAGATTGATGTTGAAATTGGATGAGCCTCGGCAATTACCACGCTGCGCCTTGATCCTTGGGGAAGTGTACAGCTCTGGCCTCGGTAAGATGTTTTCACTAAGCACACCGAGACAGACTCGGATGCTTGACCCAAATTCGATTTTCAGAGTTCGGTCCAGCCGCGATTTTTCCGAACGCGCCCCGATCTCGGATTTCGGAATTCGGTCGCCTCCCTGGCCCCTTAAAAACCGCCCTCTTTGCCGCGCCTTGGCCTCTCGGGGCACCTGCACAGTGAGGAAATCCCCGGCCTGGCCGAGTGCCATGAGGCTAAAACCCCATGGGGTTAAAACATCAATGCCATGGCCAAAACTCCGTTGCTTGGCCGACGGGGTCATCGGTCCCTTAGGAAGCATTGTGGTTAAGGATCCTTACCGACCATCCCAACGTTAACCGTAAGCAAAGGAACTGGTCTTTTGACCATGGCAGGACTTCAAGTAGTCAGAGTGCCAAAGCCTGTTGAGCTGCGGGTAAAAAACAGGTCCCAAAATGGATGGAACGCTAGTAAATGGAAGCAAGGACTCAAAAACAACTGTTGTCCAATTCATGGTGGGTTTAGTATTGACCCATACACATATTCCTTTTGAAGACACCAAGGACTGATTTTTGCTGGAATGTCGAAAAGATTGTTCAAAACAGATGGAGTTGTCAACATATATTTGTAGAGTAGTTGGCAAAATGGGGAATTGGACACCAAAGCGACAAAAAAAGAAGGAACATGGAAAAGGGGGCGTTCCCTTTGGCAAAGGGGTACCGAGCCCCAACCCTCAAATGGAAAAGATGGGTGAACATTTCTATGCGGAATCGGGGACCCCCAAATCGCCCAAATCGGACGGTTTATGTCGGATAAATTGACTGGATACCGAAAGGAAAGTTATCCACATTTTTTGGGGGCCCCCATGCACGGGAGAAAAAACAACATGCTGTTTTCCTCAAGGTTCACTGCACGTTCCTTTCGCGTTTCTTAAGCTAGCCGTACCTGCTCCCCGTTCACCTCCCTACACTCCCTTGCAACATGCACAACCATGGCGAACCGGTGTCGCAAAAACCGCGGGAGGATACTGCCGATTCCTCGATTCCAGGTCTATCGGGCGCTCCCGGGAAACCTCAAACCACAATCACTATATGTGTTCACCAGTTGAGTCATCCAACATAAACCATCCACCAGGTGGGCGGGCACCTTTGAATCGCCGTGCAATGGCTTTGAGGTCCCCGAAGTTCTGTCTGCCCCGACCTGGTCAGGGTTCGGCACGTAGATGCAGCTGCCGGGCCCTCCCTCCGGAACCTGCACCACCAGGCGCCGGCCCTCCTGAATCGCATCCCAAAACGCGCAAGGTGTTGGTGACCAACTCTGGGGGCCAAACCAGGTGCGCCTGAACAGGCGCCCCTGGCATTCTACTGGGAAATATGGCTATAAACCATTTTTGTACCTTTTGGTTTTCTGCTAGGGCACCTACCCAGGGGTACATGGTTGAGACAATAGACGAACTCACGACCCGATTTCCCTGGGCGGTTTATAGCTAGTCCAGGGGGCAAAAATGCCGAATCAGTTTGGCCATTCGGAGAGAATCTCCTTTCTGGCTCCATGAATGCTTTAGGGAGTGTTTTGAGCCCCCCCCCCCACATGGGGAGAGGGGATTTAACAGGGAAAACAGGAAGTAACCTACTGAGGCGCCAAAAAAAGTTGCCCCAAAGTGTCCAGCTAAAACCCAAGAAGCCGTCTATTTCTTCGCACCAACCCTTGCGATTTTCTCAAAATCCTCTGCCAGTCAATGTGGCCGGAGCTCTCCTGCCAGCTGTGCGGCGCCCGGATGGGCCGCCTTCTGCCGGTGCCCAGGTTCACCTGCAGCATCTGCCGGAAGTCCACCTAAGCCGAATGCGTTCAAAGCCCGGGGTGCAACCGGGCCCAAAAAGTGTTCGAACGCTTGTTTGCTACTAAAGCGGTGTTCCCAAAATCACGAAAGGCGAGAACTCAGGAATTGAGGCCTTGAGGAAAACCAGAAGGAAAGGAAAAGCACCAGGAAATCGGGGGGGGGAAAAAAAAAACGCAAAGGACCCAGCTTCGGCTTCAACCACCCACAGA